GATGAATTTGAAAAAAAATACCAACCTCAATCAGCTATTTGGTGGTACACTTATCCATCATTTATCTATTCTATGCTGAATTATGCTCTACGCTCGATGGAAGGTGATATCATTATTAATATGGGTTTCTTCATTCATGACCTTCACCAACAAATTCAACAACTACACCAACAACAGGTTAATAGTTATCATGGTAAACCATTTTTAGTTTACCGAGGACAAGGTCTATCCAAAACCAATTTTGAAAAACTCCAAACAACAAAAGGTGGTTTGATGTCTTTCAACAACTTTTTATCTACTAGTACAGAACAAGACACACCCCTTGGATTTGCTTTAAGTGCATTGGAAAATGCTGACATGGTTGGCATTCTATTTATAATGTCTATTGATCCCGATATAAAAACAGCGTCATTCGCTTCCATCAAGGAGATGAGCTATTTTAGGTATGAAGATGAAATTCTCTTCTCAATGCACACCGTCTTTCGAGTCGGTGCAATTAAACAAATGGATACTGAGCATCAACTTTATCAAGTTGAATTACAATTAACGTCGGATGATGATCAACAACTACGATTACTTACTGATTGGATCCGAGAAGAAGCTAGTGATAATACTGGATGGCAAAGATTGGGTAAACTATTGCTTAAACTTAGTCAATTTAATAAAGCTGAGGAGCTTTTTAACGTATTACTCGAGCAGGCATCTGACGAGGGTGAAAAAGCGTTTTATTATGTTTTTCTGGGATATATCAAAGATGGCCAAGGTGATTATGAAAAGGCTATTTGGTATTACGAACAAGAACTCGAAATTGATGAAAAAATTCTTCCTTCAGATCATTTGTCATTGGCTACTTCATACAATAACATCGGTAATGTGTATTCCAAGATGGCAGAATACTCGAAAGCACTTTCATTTTACGAGAAAGCACTTAAAATTGAACAAAAAACTCTTCCTTTAAGCCATCCTGATTCGGCTACTTCATACAACAACATCGGTGTACTGTATAACAACTTGGGGGAGTACTCGAAAGCACTTTCATTTTTCGAAAAAGCACTTGAAATTCAAGAAAAAGCTCTTCCTGCAAATCATCCTGAGTTGGCTGCTTCATACAACAACATCGCTAGTATATATTGCAGCGTGGGAGAGTACTCGAAAGCACTTTTATTTTACGAAAAAACACTTGAAATATGGCAAAAAACTCTTCCTGCCAATCATCCTGATTTAGCTACTTTATACAGCAACATTGGTAATGTGTACAATAACATGAAAGAGTATTCGAAAGCACTTTCATTTCAAGAGAAAGCACTTGAAATTCGACAACAAACTCTTCCTTCAAATCATCCTTTATTGGCTACTTCATATAACAACATCGGTACTGTGTTTAATAAGATGGGAGAGTACTCGAAAGCACTTTCATTTCACGAAAAAACACTTGAAATCTTCGAAAAAACTCTTCTTTCAAATCATCATTTACTGGCTACTTCATACAACAACATCGCTAGTATATATCGCAACATGGGAGAGCACTCAACAGCAATTTCATATCTCGAAAAAGCACTTGAAATTCGACAAAAAACTCTTCCTTCGAATCATCTTGATTTTGCACAGTCATACAACAACATCGGCAGTGTGCATGAAAATATGGAAGAGTACTCGAAAGCACTTTCATTTTACAAAAAAGCACTTGAAATATGGCAAAAAAATCTTCTTTCAAATCATCCTTTATTGGCTATTTCATACAACAACCTCGGTGGTGTATATGACAAGATGGGCGAGTACTCGAAAGCACTTTCATTTCAAGAGAAAGCACT